ATATACATACATATGTATATATACACATATGTATACATACATATGTATATATACATACATATGCATATATACACATATGTATACATATACATATATGTATACATGGGTAGTGTATCTTTATGTCTTATTGTATGTGTATAACTATTTTTAGGTAAATATTTAAGCCAGTTTCATAACTTTGTATGCCTACTTTGATTGTTATGCATTCTAGTATTCTCTGGCCACTATCTGTAATCTCCCTGTCTTTCCCTACGTTCCCTATCTTGGTTTGATGTTGGTCGTGTTTTGTTTTGGTGTAGATCAGAAGTTCACGTGTGCGGTTTCGTCTTCAAGAACTGCTGGCACCAACTGTGCCCGACATACCATAGCCCCCTGTGAAGCTAAGTACCATGAAAATTTTGACCAGAAGGAGCCACTATCATACTCTTAAAACAAACCCAGAACTCCCCTTTTATTTTCAATGCCTGTGTTAATTTTTCAGGATTTTCAAGTATGTAAGTATTTCTGTTTAGAAACTTTTCAAAATTATCTAGTACCTCAAGCAAACAACTAGCAAGAACTAGTACAGTCTTGTAAATACCTTCCGACGCTGTTCATCCTTCATCTTTTGCAATTTTTGGTTTTCTTCCTCCTTTAGAGAATTTTTATAAGCCTGGCTTCTGGCCTGTAAAAGTGTAGGGGAAAAAGAAAAGACAAGAAAAGAAAGTTCACAGGAAAAGTACCGCCACAGCACACCAGTCTGCCTACTACGAGACTGGTGCCAGTAACTCAACCTAGGCATATGGTAAGATCTGCACACACACTTGCCTACCAAATGATTTACACATATGCCTGAAAGTGTCCCTTGGGATATATAAAAAGAAGGCTACTGTAAGCAAAATCATCCAGCACATTTTCAAGGATGATCTAAATGTTTGTTTAATTAAGCTTTAAAAATATTCCCTTAGAGATAACCAACATAGTTTATTCCTTCTAGTGGAAAGTTAAAGATATTTTCAAAAATATGCCAACTAGCTGATCAGTCAGTATTACAAACAAGCACTCTCTTTAGAAGCACTGACATGTCTACGGCTCATTTATGGTATTCCTACTAAACAACTTGTCAACTGGTGATTGATACCATATAATTCCAAAGATGCATTACTTTCTAAGTCTTTGCATCCCTAATCTGTATGAAGCTTATTTCCATTTCTTAGAGGGAAAACAAAGTCTACACAGGAGCACATATGCCATGGGAGAGCCAGCACGTGCGGTAGAATGTCCTTTAGTCTTTCTGACCCACCACATCAGGGTTCCACACACTGGCATAGTGACCATGTATTCTGGACTTTTTGGTATTTCAAGTGTTCTGTTTATGTGTCATATATTTTCTCTCCCTCAAATTGATTTGTGGGCCCAGGCTCTGTAAGGCGAGAGTCCAGCCTGCTACGCTAATACTTAGGAAATCTCACTGATCTCATAAAACCACCAGCAGGCTACATATTTCAGGTCTAGTTCTCTAGACTCATAAGCCATAAAGCTTATGCAAGCTGTTTCTCCCTTTTTCTTTAATATCATTTTTCTCAAGCACTTCTTAGTTCATTCCTCCATTTCTGTCACTATAAAAACCCATATACCATCAAACAGTAAGAGCTGCTTCCCAGAAAGAGAAGCTTTCAGAATTATATTGTCTGCAGCAGTATCAATTAGAATAGTGGAGCTGCATGTGTTCAGAAAGCCCTTATATCCAACTCTGCCACATTAGACGGGTAAACATACATCCTATGACCTTTTCCTTTTACATCCTAAACACAAGGGGAAAGACATAGAAGGGAGGGGTAATCTTCTGAATGACCCTTTCTTTTTATATCAGAGAAGGAAGGTTCATCTCTATCAAAAATGTTCTGTGTAAGACCCACAGAGGAAGAAAGGAGAGAGAGATAGCTTCTATTTAAGAGATTAAAAGGCAGAATAAAATATATAAAGCAAATATTATGACTTGAGCAAGGATGCTAAAGTCTATTTAAATACCTTCCTTTTAAACTTACCCCCTTGTTCTTTCATTAGCATATGGGTCCTAGTTTTTGACTCAGGAAAAAAAATGATTACTAGACATATAAGATGCTGGGAAGTCACCAGGAACCTTAACTATGAAAGGTTCAAAGTCACTTGTAATGCTAATGTTTGCTTACCCAGCTGTGATCCCTAGGCAGGACAGGAAGTTTCTGTTCAAAAATAATAGAGGGGGGC